AATGAGAATATAACACATACAAAATAAAGAGAATCAACGGTACAACTGTGCCGATTACAATCAAACATTGTTTTTTCCACATGCGTTTACGACAGGAATGCGTTTAGAGCTTTCGGCGTGCTTGCCGGCCAACTAATGGAGAGTCCTTCTAACGTTCGACTGCTCTAGAGTAACGTGTGGTGATCATGAACAGCCCTATTTTACAGCCCTAGTTTACTATTTCAGATAGGGTTACCATAAGGGTGGCAATGGAATTATCGTCATCCAAAGTATATTTTAGAACATTTTTTTAATTTTTATACAACTAAATAGTATATTATGTAAACCGTATTACAAGGAAATTGTATATCAAGAAAACTAAATAGGAAATCAAGATAAATTAAATTTAACAAGGTGACCATTTTTTCTAGAACAAACTTTCTCTGAATTTTCTAAGTTATCCTGGTTATTTCCTTTCATTTTCCATTACAAAATTTGTGAAATATTTCAGAGTATTTAAATAAAATGTTAAATAAAGCATGGCTTTGGTCGATATAAAAACATTGTTATCGGCTAAGCCCTTTTTTGCCTTCTAGATTTTCTTACGCTAACGCATTATGCGAGAGACAGAGACACTTCAAAATTGAAAACACAGTACCTTTTAAGGATTTTCGGCTCTCGGATTGCACTGTAAAAAGACAAAAATTAAAATATTTACTTAAAAAAGTGCCAAAATGACAGTGTATTCGAGTGAAAGAAAATTCTTGGTTTTATACATTGTCTCTGAAATTTCTCTGGCTTTCAATGATTCTTCAAAAAATGCCCTGACGTTTCCAGATCAATGAAATTCCTCGACTTTCCTCGGTTTTCCAGAAACTGGCTACCCTCAATAAATTAAAGTTTCATTGATGAAGATTTGATATCTTGGTCAAAGAAGATGAACTCTCAAACCAGTCACAGTTGAAAGATGACCAGTGAACACAGTTGTCAGATGCCCAGAAGGGGTATTTGCCACTTGCGTTCTCTCATGTAGTTCACAAGTAGTCCCAAAACGGAGATTTTTTAGGACTATGAGGAATTCTAACAGAGTATGAAATTTATGACATTTGGAAAAAACAAACACAAATATGGCGGGACAGCAGGACACATGTTGATATTCAAAACTTTTCCCGCTTTTTCCGGACGTATGGCATCTCAAGTTTGAGAGAAAAAATACTTTCATTTATTTGACGTCAAAAATAGTGAAAAAGGGATATATTGTGTGGAATTACGAACACTGGTAGAAACAAGCGTTTTTAGCAAAATTTGATAACAAAGAATGGTCGCTGCCACAAATAAACAACATTTGTTACAATGAATGATAAACAGATATTGGCTCACATCTTTCATCGTGTCTCGCGTGAAGGAATTGACTTAATACCTCGACAACGCGCATTTCTCATCGCGTACAACCGCCACAGCCGTCTGCGACCACCTGTTAGTCACTCTCCAAGAATAGTATTCCACACTACAGATTATTTCTGGTCTATGTTGTTGCATTTTCTCTATTTGGAAATTCCTCAAAGGACGTAAAGGGAATTAATAATAATAATAATAATAATAATAATAATCATTATTGTTGTTGCACTAGCGCATCAAACACAGAAATACAGAAAAGAATTAGATAAATTATTATCCCAGGGGAACACTCCCTTCGGCAGTTTTTATAACAAATAAAATGAGATCGGTAGCTTTGGTTAACATTAATATGCAGAAACTAATCGTGGTGCAATAGCACGCTTTTTCACATTAGTTTTAGCATTTGTTACATTCAGAGACTTTAACAAAAAAATAGACCTATGCCACTTTTCTGCGTCCAAGGTAAACATTTAAAGAAAAAATTTAGAGACGTGTTTAATTTTAACATTTTTTATAAATTGCCTTTATTGAAGCAAAACTTGCGCAAAGACTTCTCCCTTTTACTTCATTGCCTTTCTTCGTAAGAAGAGAAAGTTTGATAATCTTGCGCTGGAAATTGGGAATTTTAGAAACCCTTCTTATCGGGCCCTGATAACACAACTAGTGGTAGTACATCAGCGCACACTTTCTCGCATTATTTCTAACTTTGCAATTTCCGAAAATACAGAGAGTTCAACAAAAACGAGACCGTCATTTTTTAAACGTCCTTTAGACTATCCAAAAATGTAAAGAAAAATGTAAAGAAAAGCCGTTTTTAAGAACATGTTATTTGTATAAAAATCATTAACTTCAAACAGGAAGGTTCGTGAGAATAATTGTTTTAAATGATTATATTTCATGTGAAATTATGCAAATACTTCTCATTTGTTGGACAAAATTATAGTTCATGGCGTTATTTCAGGCTTATTTCCAGAGCCAACAAGACGTTTCATTACGAAAAACAGTCTCAATCATTAATATTGTACCTGTAGGAAGAAGTCGAAAAAATTCAACTTTTGGAGTTTTTGAAACATCAGGAGTTTTAATAAAAGTGAGATTTGCACCATTCTCTTAAGCGATTTTTACGCTATCCGTGTTTAATCCAAATATTTGGAACAATATATATCGTTAAATGAATTTGGCCACAGAGTTTTTAACGACAGACAGTTTTTAGATCATAAGCAGTTTATTCAATGTTCTGAGCGTTCACATCAATGTTCATTCAATGTTCACATCACAAAAGGTTTATTGTTTTTTCAGAGCGACGTTTCGGGGAATTCATTTTTCTCCATTTTCAGGCTAGGAATAGTAAAGGATAAAATTTAATATAAATATGCTAAAAAGAACATGTTATATTTGGAACAATATTTGAGAATATGTAGAAAATATTCAGGCTTCACGTAAAGTATTCCCCAAAATCAAAATATCCATTTCAAACTCATCGAGCCGTCAGTTATTTCTGATTGCTGAGGGATTATTAATTTTGGAGAAAATCGTGTCAACGGTTTAGGGCGAGAGAGTTAAAGACCACACATAAATGGGTGTTCAGTCCCACCCAAGCGGACAGAGACATTTTGCCGTTAACCAATTTTTCGTCACGAAGGAGCCACAAAACTGACTAGACAACGTGTAGGAGGAAGTAGTTTACTAAATACAGGCACAAAACGTATTCAAATTTTCAGGTACAATGTTCCACAATATAGATTTTTCTATCGAAACATCGCCAATTTCGGCATTGTGATTCTTTCTCATCATTATCTAAGTCGTAGGAGAGCGAGAGAGTAAAGAAATTTCCTTTCGATGCAGCAGCTACTCTGTCACGTGTAGATTCTGAAACTACCCCAGAGCAAGTGATGTGAATATAGAGCGCACAAATGGAATGATAGTAAACAAAGGCAAAGGCAAGAAAATCCAATCGGGTAACCCCCCCTCTTGTAAGCTTGAGTGGCATCCATAATGTCCATTTGGACCAATTTCGAGTTCTGCTAGATTAATCGTCCGCGAACAGTCCGTTGAGCAGTGAGTCACCTTTTACAACAGACAAAATAGTTTCGGTTTTTCACCTTTCGATTTTCTGTTGTTTTTCTTCCTAGTTCCTTAAGTCACGAACTGTATGATGTTAGATATCGTAATCTAATCAGCGCAAACTTCCCTCTTTACAGGGTCGCTAATTCTTCCCCTACGTACGACGTTTTGCATAACATTATGACGGATCTGAACCGACATCAATTTACTTCATTCTTTGATGGAAGGCGTTCTTTTCTATTAATCGTATGTAGTTGGCTTAGGAAAGTATATAATGTACCCAATACATATTGAATCAATGAAAAGTTAATTTAGGCACTAGCATATATGCATATATGGAGTGTTCCTTTACAATACCATATATGGAGATACTTTGCAGGGATAATATGTAAAGACTCGAAGACCTTCTATCGCAACAACACTACCACATCTAGTTCTAGGTACTTCGGGCTGCATGTGAACCCACTTGTCCAGATATGAGAAGTCAATTTTATCTCTTTACATTGTCATCCCTCCGAAATCCAATTAATTTATTCATTGGTTTTTATCTTTGTAAAGGGTCATATGAATTCTTTTCTCAGTATGTGATATAATGTGTGCTTTTATGTAAAGACTATATTCATGAGAAAGCCATGCATTGCGTCCACTTTAGGGGATTCATCATGGAAACGTTGCGGACTTAATCTTCCCCAGGACTCGAGTCATAAATATAGTGTTAGACGAACGGTACTAAAAGAGAAAAACAGTGCTGACCCACAAAAGTACACAGAGCTAACCCCTTGGAACAGACCGCCGACTACGATTCATGTCAGCTACTGGTGGCGACTGAAGTGGAACCCGGGAGACCACAAGAGTCACGATCCTAAAAAAATTCTAGAAATCGACATTTTTCCTCGAAGGAAAGGAAAATATACATGTAAAGTAGAAGTAGGTGATTCCACATAAAATTCTTCGAGAGGACACGCAACCCTTATTCTATATATTGTCATCAACTTTTGAACAAAGTTCTCTGGAAATGAAAGACAAATTTAGTGGTCTCAAAAAACTGCCGTTTAACCCTTTAGCGCCCGGCAATCCTTCGTTCATCCAAGAATATTTTTGCTCTTCGACGATGCCCCTGCTCAAGCTTGGACTTGACCTCACACACATTCTGAGAGACATTCTAGACAAATAAGGAGGGGATATTATTCCCAATGGCCGCACATAAGATTTGGAAGAGGGACAGGACGGAGGAAAGAGAATCGTGTGCGGGTCTCCTCCGACATCACGGAACTTTTCAGAGGAAATCGCGGAAACGACTAATTAGAGGAACGAGCCTCCAGAATTCTCCTCCAATGTCGTAGTCCGACCCAGTAGCTATAGAAAACGCACCATCGTCGGGAATCGAGTCTAGGAGCCCCCGATTTACGAAGCTGCACAACAACATACGCTACAGCGCCGTCTCGTGACTTGATACAAACTGAATCTGAAAAAGGGCCTGCCCCCGCTGCAAGTGTAAGTCTGCAAGCACCTCTGGTGGACGAGCGCCCCGCCCAAGGGGTGCGCAAGGAGAGACTCACCGGAGCAGCGGAGGAGCAGCGTCAAGAGCAGCAGCAGCAGCGGCAGGCAGGCGCGCGGGGGCGCCATGGCCACGGGCGGCGGGCAGCGAGGGCGGAAGCTGTGGCGACAGCGGGCGCGCACGGCGGCTAGGGCCGGGCGCTGGGGTCTGGGCTCCGCGCGGCTTCGCCACTAGCCCTCGAGTAGCGCGCGGCGGCGGCGGTGGCGGCGCCCACACGCACGTCACGCTGCGCACGCGCCGCGGCGCCTTGGGCCTTGGAGGGGGCGAAGGGGCAGGAGAGGGGCAACCCGCGCAGCGCAGCCGGGAGGCCGGACCATCGGAACCCCCACCCGCATACCCATGGCGCAGCCAGGAAGGATTCCAGGGGGAGCAATTTCAGTTCGGACACGCGGAAATATTTTAATTTTTTTTAGCTTCAAATAAAATGAATGAGTGAAAACCAGAATGGTATAAGTGACATTTTATAAATTCTGAGAAGAACTTATGAATTTTAGGCTATATATCATGGCAATGTATTATCGACTTTACAGTAATATTGACATAAATAAATAGATTTCTCTGAATTGATAAAATGTATCTTATACCGTTCTGGTTTTCACCCATTCATGAAATCATATATTAATATTATTTAAATTTAATTATAATATATTACTTAAAATTTGATATATTATTATTTTGAATAAATTGAGTAAAATTACAAAAAATTGCTGATAGGAAGAAGCCGGTGCCCCTCCTCCTGCCTCGGGTCCGCCATTGCGCATTCCACACGTCCGGGCGCGCTGCGGGGGCAAGGGTGATGGCATGCGCGGGCATAGAGCAATTGCACGTTTGCGATAAGGGTGCTCCGGAAGAATAGTTGCATTCCAATGAGCGTCGCCAGGAATCGCCAACATTATTTTAAACGTGGTGGGTTCAATGTAGTTGTCCGTAGCAAAATATATAGTTGAAAAAAGGAAATAAGTAGAATTTTTAAATGAATTCTTTCATAGATTCGGTTATAAGTGAATATATTTTCAAATGTAACATTATAACATAATGATTTAGCAATACATGATTGGAGAAAGATGCTTAAAGACGACTGCTTTGTAATTGATTTTTCTAATACCATTTATTTAGGACGGATTGGCACGTAGCTTCAGCGCTAGCGGTGACATGTTCTTGAAATACCGATTTGCGAAATCTTGAAGCTTGTGTTCCGAGACACATTGGCCACGAGTCTAAAAGAAAGTGTAATGGACACGGATAATTACAGTTCTTGCAATTGAATCACATCAAAAATGCTTTCTGGAAATTAATATGTGATTCGGAAAAGGTATTTTTTCTTCATATTGGGGTGGAGAAACAGCCGTGCATAAATTGTGCAACGCCAAAGAGGGGGAGGGGGTTTGAAGCAGTGTTAAAAAAAGGGGAGGTGTTTTTTCCTGATACACGACGGTGACATTTTTTATTTGAATGTTTCCACATTTGCTGAAATAATTCTTTTTATTCAGTCTTGAACTAAAAAATTAAAATATTAGCAATTGAAATGAGAAAAAATAATTAAATTAAAAGTAATCATGTATAAATTGTTATAATAAATAGAAATATAGTTTCATCAACACTAGAACCTGTTAGATTCCGATGAGAATATTCAAAACTAATCTTTACTGTATTCGAGTATCCAATTAAATTGACGCAGTACTCTCGCGCCCATGGAAAACTCAATTCATGGAAAACTAAAGGAAATGACCTGGATAACCTGATAAAGTCAGGGAAATTCTTCCTAGAAAAAGAGCTGTCACCCTGTTAGGATTGAAACTGTTAAATGTAATATTCTTATGTTCACGACGTGTAAGAAATTTTCTCGCACACGCGTCCTTTCATCACTCAAATATTGTCCGCAATTTTGTTAGGCATAGTGAGCAGGCTAAATAAGCCTGATTTTAATGATCATAAATTGTAATATATAACACAAATAAAATTAATAAAAATTTATGTTAGTGTTATGCAAAGTATTAATATTTATTTATTTAAATGGGAGAGTGTTGTCGCAAGCATTGCGTAATTCTTTAGAGGGGAGTTCAGTATGCGTTGCACAGCTGCGTTCGAGAGTATTGAAAATACACAATTTGCGTTCCGTAATTTTTGCATGGCCCATTAACTTTTTTGTTGCAGCAACTTTTATAATGAGTTCCTTCCCATATGAAATTTCTCCCAGTTTTGCACCGGTAGGCAGAGACTTCCTCGCCATCGGCATGCAAAATGAAACGAGAATGGTGGCTCAGAGCATCAACAGATGTCACAGCAAAACCTCTGACCGAGAGGTCCGAGGGTTCTAGTACTGACGGTGATAGGTACATAGCTCGGGCGAATTCAGCCGCTGTCTGGAGGGGAATTCTAGCGGACGGCTGCTCCGATCGGTAGATTTCCGTGATTTTTTCAATCAACACCAGGCGAATGCCGGAGCAGTACCCTAACAAAAGGGACACAGACTGCGCACGATAGTTTCTTCCTTTTCTTTGTCCTATCCTCACCATTTACTTACTTACATACACTTTGACTCACACTTTGACTATCACACGTGTTGGGAGACCAGATGGAAACTTAGAGCTTGTCCCGGCTGGAGCAGTGCCCCGCTGGTGGGAGATACCTGGTTGCGGAAGATCCTCATCCAACCTGATGTGGGTCGGCGCTGGATCTCGCGAGCCAGCTGGGGAAGATCACCGCTACTTCCAGAGATAAAAATATGCACTAAATGTACGGGAATAATGACTTCAGCCGTTGACGCTTCCGGAATCACTAATCAATCAAATCTACAAAATGTATATTTTAGTCCTTTACTGACAGTTCGATCGCTTTCACTGGAAAATAAAATAAAAATAACAATATTACTTCAAAGTGTCCTTAAATGTTTTAAAAATATGTTACATTGACCGAACGCAATTACGTGTTATGCTTTCCGATGTGACGTCATGGATACTCACAGCGACCACAGACACAGAGCTTTCGTATAACAAATATATTTATTAACAAGAAAACAAAACAAATATATACACTTAATAATCTACTTAAACCCTAGCTCTGATAGACCTACTATCCCCTGATCGCGGGAGCGATCCAAAACCCGATTGAAGATGGTTTTGATTGTGGCATTCGCCACTCCTACTTTTGAAGCGCGCACAAAGCCTAGCTTCCGTGACCGGATGTCACGCTGGGACACAAAGTCCGTTCTGGCGCACCAACGGCTGGTTTGCCTCGATCGCAGGAGCGATCTTATCCGATTGAGAATCGGCGTGAATCGTCGCACTCAACCACTCTTCACCTCGGAGCACGCACACAGCATCGCTCCCCCGTGAGCGCAGTCACCCAAGGACATAAAGTCCGCAGGCTTCGTCAACTAATGACTCCAGCCTCGCGAGCCTGGCTCGCATATGCACCGTCTAGGCGCCAAGTTTTGTGCACACGCACGAGGTTCTCCCACCGTCTCCAGAACCTGCCTACTGGCTCCGTACACTCTGTTATATAGGCGAGGCCCACGTGACCTCCTACGTCACGCCACCCCCTCGCTTGTTATAACAGTGAAAAGCTTCTATAAGCCGGAAGACACCCAAAGCCTTGTGTCTCCCGTCTCCGCGTTCTTCCCTTTACAGAAAAACCCTACTTCCTGTGGCGAGACTAATCCGCAACCAAGCGTCCCCAAATAGATGCCATGAGGCACGCTGGCTAATACGTTACACCGAGCATTGTGAATCTTTCGTATTGTGTCTACTAAAGTACGAATACCTTCAAAAGGTTCCTGTCCTTGTGTCTCAGTGGTTGACAGTGCCCCTCCTGTGAATCTCTGGAATGAAGGGGCAAATATTTATTTCGGAATGGCATCCTTGGAATGTCGTTGAAAGGTACTGCGGTTTATGATTATTTATTTGAATTCATAGAACAATTAAAAACTATGTGATGAATGCTGTAGAAATATCTCAAAAAGCTTCTGAACCGAAAAAAGCAGTTATAACCTTTCGGCTATTCCCATCCTTGGCCCGAGCTGCCGGCGGCTAAACGGCATTCGGGATTGTGCAGTACGTAAGCACGCGTTTGTAGGTTCGACGGTACGCATGGCGCGGATTTTGTTCATGTCAGGGCAGGTCTGACAGGAGCAAGCGAATGGCCTTCAGTTCGGGGTTGAGGACGCATGGTGCTCCGCGCCCTTCACAAGTTTCCAAAGAATCTTTCTCACTGACGGCGATCGGAAGCGCAGCTGCGGGTTAAGCGCACACTCAACCCAATCCAATGAGTCACCCGCTTCGTAAGGATTTAATGTGCGAACCGCCATGACGAAGCAGGAGAGCTAAAGGAATCACACAGCGTTGAAAATGTAACATTGGGGAAAGTCACTGAATGAAGATTAATTTCTTTCATTTATTTCTTTTCCAAAGCCAGTTTGACCCAGTTATTGGATTAAACAAATGTTACAATCCAGGAAAAAAATACCTACCGGTTCTTTAATATCACCGGTAGGTCTTCCGTGCAAATTCGGCGTGCAAAAAAATTGCAAGACAAACTGTCTACAGTCGGGCGTTGGCAGCTTCACATTTCTGATTAACTTGGAGGAAGAGGTAATCAACTGGTTCGAGATTCTCTGGCTACATTTTATGAACCTGAAATAGTTTGGATGGTAAGAGATATATTTTAGCGTTTCATGTAAAAAAAAAGTTTGAAACCAAAATTCAGAATTAATCGCTAGTCTGGAGCAATAGTCATATCGAAAAAACGCCATTTTTCAGAAGACCCTTTGAAATATTGACGAAAATGTTATATCGGGTGTATTGCCGCCGACGTGTCTGTCAGTGATAATGGAGCGATCTCAGTAAAGTGTGTGCTCACTACTTTCAAGCACTTTCTGAGGCAGTCTTTTTTCTTCTTTTATTTCTTTTCAAAACGTCCGTCTGTCCGTCCGTACGTACGTCTGGTATCTGTGAACACTACCAGCGCCTAAACTATTCAAATGGAAGAAACCCCTGTACATCTGGCTCGAGACGAAACTTCGAGATTTTGAAAACATTCTTTAAAATTTGGGGGTACTTTATATGAAGCTCCCCGGACATTTTCAATTTTTTTTTCAAAAACGTCTCCAAATTTTTTCTTTAAATTTCTTGTAAGAATAGTGTAACAGACACGTACAAACGTTGCATATGTCCGATTTTCACTGTTAACTATGAATTTTCGAAAATTTCAGAAGTAGGATTTTTTTCGGTGTCTTCCTACAACTACAAAATTGAAGATAGAAACTTTTCCTTCAAAAAACAATTGTTATCCATAGTAAGTTCTTTC